TGGTGCTGGGAGTGGTGGATGTTGTCGTCCGGTTGGTGAAGTAGCCATCGGACTATCCGGTAGTGGTCGTGAACTTGACGTCGATGTTGACGGAAGTCGTGGAGGTGGTGTGGTGCGTTGTTGTTTTGTTGCGGGTTCCGCAACGATGTCGTCCGTAGCGTTCGTTTGTTGTCCGAAATCTTGCGTGGACCTTCTTTTCTCTGACGGTGGTAGTTGCGCATCCAACAGTGTTGCGAACGATGGGTTGTAGGTGTTCCGTCGTGGTGCCCACGGTGTGCCGGAAACTTTGTTCAACAGTGCGAGGTCGTATTTGAAGTCCGGTTGTAGTCTCCGCACTGTTCGTACCTTTTGTACGCCTGATTCCGTTGCGACGTAGTTTTCTCCGGTTTCGGAAACTTTTCCGAGCCAGATGCATTTCTGCATCCGTAGGTCTGCTTTCGGAAGTTTCTTGTGTTGTGGTGGAAGGTAGAGTAGTGTCTCGCCAAATTCGCAGATTGCTCGCTCGTAGTTTCTTCCCCAGCGGCGTTCGAAGCTTGTGTAGCCGTCTGAGTGAATGACGTAGCGATTTACCGTCCATGCTGCGTGTCGTACTATCCAGGGTAGTAGACAGTGCTTTGTGGACATCGTCATGCTGTAGTTGCTTTCAACCTGAGCTTTGACGACGCGGATTTGTCCGAGAAGTGTTCTATGTAGTCGCTCAACGCTTCCTTGACTGTTGCTGCTGTAGGATGGTGAATGTCGTACAGTCATTGAGCCGACTTTAGATGCTGTTGCTTGTAGTAGTGCATTGAGTGTGTCTTCGTTGTCGCTTTGTAGTATGCCGTGTGTTCTTCCGCATTCAAAGATGAATGCTTGTAGGTTGTTGATCATGTAGTCCATCATTGATGGTTTGTCCGGAACCAATACCGCCATGCACAGTTGTGTAGTAACATCAACTGCCGTTAAGACTGGTATGGTCTTCGGATCTTGTTGTGATTTGATGTAGGCAAAATCCACTTGGATGATGGGTTGTCGTGATTGTTGTTTCTTGTAGTTGTCCTGGCGTCCTTTGCCTTGAACGCAAATTGGACACCAATTTCTGTATGGTAGGTGTGTCAAGTTGTGTTCTGCTATTTGTTGTGGAGTGGGCTGCTGAGGTTGTCGTAGTCCTATTGCTCTGTGTGCTTCATGATGCTCGTGTTGTTGTTCCTCATCGTGGTTCTCCTGGATGTACTCGTAGTCTTTCTTCACGGTGAACCTTGTTGTTCCTTTCCATTGAAATGGTAGTGCTGCGTTGCCCATGACTGTCCAGTCATCTTTGCGTTGGGAAACTTCTCCAAAGTTGTTGTGAGTGATTGTAGTTCTGTGAGGTTCGAGTGTGCTGATTGGTGGATGTCCTGGTCCATCTGTTGGAGTGAATAGAGTTGTTCTAAGTGTTGTGTGGTGTCTTATCCAGTGTTCACCTTGTCTTTCCCAGTAGTCTTGGTTGTCCTCCTGTGCTGTGAGTGGTCTGTGGATTGTCTCCTTTGGTTGTGTGGTGTCAAGATTTGTAGAAGGTGCTGCTTTAGGTCTCCATATCTTTTGTGGTGCTCGTAGTTGGATCTTTGATCTGGTTGGTGGTGTGTCCATTAGCCGTTGTGGTTGTGAGCTCTGCCTTGTTGGTGTGGTCTTTGATGTTGCTCTGCGTGTAGGTGTTATCTTTCTTCTGAATCTGGTTTCTCCAGTCCAGTTGTCACCTTCTAGTCTTCGTTGTAGTTCTTGCTTGGAAAGTTGTGTTGGGTTCTCTTGTAGTTGTTCTTGCTCTTGCCCTTGTCTGTTGATGATGGTTAGTCGCCAATCATCTAGTTCTTCTTCAGGTATTGGGCAGCCACTGTTGTGTGGTGTGAACAGTGCTTTGCGTGGTCGTTTGTGTACTCTGATGGCGTAGTCACCATCAAGTTTCCAGTAGTCAGTGTTTCCACCAAGGATCTGTCGTAGTCCTTGGTCTGTGTGTGTGAGTGGTGCGATTTGTTCTTGTTGTTGTGCTGCTCTCTCTGTAGGTTGAATCACAGCAATGGATTTTCCACTGTCTGTAGTCATTGGATAGATGTCGAATCCTGTAGGGATGTCGATCTTCTCTGCTCGTAGGTAGAAAAGTCCTGAGTGTCTGATGAGGTGTGCTTGTTCTTGTCCATGTGTGATGGTGCAGTGTCGTGGAGTGAAGTCAAGTCCGTATCCTCTATCAAGTAGTCTTGATGCACTGAGGATTGGGTACTTCACATCACAAACGTAGTAGGGTATCATGATCCTGAAGTTGTCCTGCTTGTAGGGAACGTACTTGATGCCGTAGACAGGAATCTTCTTGTTGGTAACCGTGTAGAGTTGTGGAACCGATTCTCCACAAGGTCGTAGCGGTAGGTCTGGTGCGTAGTCCTTCGGGCAAACGTGTGTAGACGCTCCTGAGTCGATCAGCAGGTGGTGGTATGACTTGAAGTTGGAGTACATGATGTAGTGTGTGATAGTGTTCTCAATCTTCTTGTTCCTTTGTTGTTGTCTGGCTGCTGCTATATCAAAGTGTGGCTGTGTGTTGTCTTCTTGTAGGAATTGTTGAAAGCTCTTGCTGTGGTCGTTCCATGATGTTGTGTGTGTTGTTCTCTTGCCAAGTAGTGATTTGTGAGGTGTGACTCGTTGATGCCTCCAATGTAGTTTGCAGTGTCCTCATGGCTGTTGTCATTCCAATCCCAGCTGTTGTCATAGTCGTAGTCGTTCCAGTTCTCCTCCATGTAGTTCACCTCGTGTTGTCCTTCTTCTCCTTCGTAGTACCAGTCCCAAGTGTCGTTCACATCCTGAGGTAGTTCTTCATTGTTGTCGTGATCTGCTTGTTCTTGTTCTAGTGGATGTAGTTCTTCTCCTTCTCCTATGTGCCATACTGGCACTCTGCAGTCTTGTGCCCAGTGGCCTGGTTTGCCACATCGATGGCATGTTGTGTAATTGTTGTTTCCTTTTCCTTTTGATTTGCTGTAGTTTCCTTGGCCTTTGTAGCCTTTGCTTGATCCATGTCCTTTGGATCCTGAGTAGCCTTTTCCTTTGTTCTTGTTGTATCCTCCTTTGTTGTAGTTTCCTTTGCTGCCTTTGTCGAATCCTTTGTAGTGGCCTTTGCTTCTGTACTTACCTTTTCCTTTGTTTCCTTTGTAGTGTCCTTTGCCTCCATATTTGCCTTTGCCTTTGTAGTTTCTTCCTTTTCTCCAAATGTTGTCCACGTCCATCGGTGCTGTCCCACCATTGTAGTTTGTGCCAACTGCTGAGCTCGCTCTTGAGAATGCAGAGATGGTTTTGTAGTAGTCCAGGATGACAACTCTGATCTCGTTGTAGTTCGTGATCTGTCCAGCACGTAGTTGGAGATGCTGTTGGAGTGCTCCTTTGGTCTTGTTGAGTAGTATTGCAATCTTTACTCCATCTGGTAGTGCTGTGCCGTTGTCTTTCTCGTAGCGGTTGATGTCGTATTCCCACTGTAGGAATTGTTCTTCAAATTGTGCTTCATTGAATGTAGGTTCCAGTAGTTTGGTGAGGTAGCCAACACTGCGTGTTCCTACTGGTAGGCTGAACCTGTTGTGCAAAAGCCGTAGTGTTTCACATCCATTGGCATTGTAGCGGTTTTGTCTAACCACTGTAGCTGCTGCTCCTTGGCAGATGTTGATGAGGATGTAGTGTAGATCTCGTGAGAGGTCTACTGCTTTTGCTGCCTGTGTAGGGTCGCGTATGTGGGCTCTGATGTCTGCATCTTCAATTTGTCTTGTAGCTGCTTGTGCTAGTTGTAGCACCATGTCGAAGTCTCGGTCGATAAGTCCGAGATATGCTTGTAGTTTGAACAGCCACTCTTCATACTGTGAGTAGTCACCAGTGAAGAACGGTGGTGGCAGTTTGTATTTGTGTAGCCTTTGGACGTCTTCCTGCTCCTGTGTTGTTCCCGTAGTTGTGGCTCCTATTGTCTCTTCTGCTGTGGGCCCGTTGTCTGCTCCTGTAGTTGGTTGTGCTGATGCTGCTGCTGGTTCTCCTGACATGTCGTAGTAGTTGGGCATGTTGGTTGCCTGTGCAGTTGTAGTACTTACTGCTGTTACTGGAGCTCCCCTATGTTTAGGATCTCAGCTCCGCTACCACGTTAAAATACGTTGATACTTTACTTCTAGTGCAAGTGTTGTTCAGTTATCACAAACACAAATGTAGTCAGCCAGCATGCACTCTTTTCCTGGTAGACTCAAGGCCTGCAGTCGGGTAGTGTACATCATGCATGCACAAGTGACAAGTAGTGCAACATGATATTTGACAAGAGAGAGAGAGAGAGAGAGAGAGAGAGAGAGAGAGAGAGAGAGAGAGACGCACACAGGCACACAGGCACACAGACACACAGAGACATAAATATCTATATATATATATTTACATATACATGAACATACACGTGTGCGCGCGCGTTCGTGGCAAAACCGACAGTTTGGACTAGTTGTTCGCCACTTAGGCAGTGAGACATATGAAGAGAAATATTATTATTTTTTTAGCGCGCCAGGTACAACAAATGCGGGGATTTCAGCAGTTCCCCGGAGATTTCCTGGATGCGGATGGGATGCAGCAGGCACAGCTTCCATTGAGCCTTGGCATGTGTTTTGGGGGGGCTCCCTGAACAAGCAACAACCAGAAAAAGGGCATTGTGTTGTCCTGTGACATCCTGTCAGCCTGTGACCCCTAAAAGTTTGGGGGTTAGGGGTTTTTGAGAGTAGTAGTCCTTTGGAGGTGTTTAATAGGAGACCAAGTTGGAGGGAGGGACTTGATGTGATTCTTGTGAAGCGCAAACAGGACAAGTTGCCGTTGGACAACCCTTAAAAGGCTCGACAAATGGAATTGGGGTATCCCCCACCCGCGTTTCCATCAATGTAGGGATTCGTTGACCCGCGAGGAACATGCAGCCTGGCCAGCTGGGATTGGGGCAGCCCTTCATGCAGACGGGACCGGGATCTATGGGATCTATGCCGTCTGGGAGCCTTGGGCCAATGCAGCTGACGCAGGCGCTTCAGCAGTGCTGTTTGATGTGGTTTGCTTGGATTCTCTCAGGCACAACAGTGTCCAGTCCTCAGTGCCCCAACATGGGACGGAATCCAGCGGGAAGAAAGCTTGAAGAACCCTTGCTCTGTTTTCGGTCTGCTGTTTGTTGCAGGCACAGCCGCAGCTGCTGGGCCAGTTCAACCAGATGCCGATGCGGCCGGATGACCGCCGAATGGGCATGGGCATGCCAATGTGGTCCCAGGATTCTCGGGGTATCCTTGTCAGACAAAAGCCTTACCTTTTTCCAGACCAATCGTTGCATTCCGTCCTTTTCTTGGAGGGGGGTTTCCCTTTGAAATGTCCCAGTGCCTGTTTTTCCCATGGCCACTGGGGGTGTGGGTAGCTTAGCTTTTGTTTGACCGTTTTGGTGTTCCTTCATTTTCCCTCTCAACCCGCAAACGGTTTTGCCCGCAGCGGGTCGAATCGTCGAGGCATGAGCATGCCTAGCCCGGACATGCAGATGCCCAGCATGATGGGCCAGGTTGGCATGGGGCAGATGGGTCAGGTTGGCCAAGTGGGGCAAGGTGGTCAACTGGGTCAAGTTGGTCAAGTTGGTCAGGTGACTTGGCAAGATGGCAGTGCGTAAATGTGTGCCATTTTGCTGCACACGTGTGTTTGTGCATGTCTGTGTGTCTGTGTGTCTGTGTCTGTTTGTGTCAGTGTTTGTGTTTTTGTTGCTGTTTGTGTTTGTGTTTGTGTGTTTGCGTGCCTGTGTCTTTGTGCGCGTTTCTGTGTCTCTGTGCGGGCTTGCGAGGTGATGGATCAGAACCAGATTCTTGGGCAGCCGGCCGTCATGGGCGCGTTCTGCCAGCAGCTGCTTGGCAACAACTTCCGGGAGAAAGAGGAACTTCGGCAGCCCTGGCTCCAGGATTTCGCCGCCATGAGGGACACTCGGCCGCCTTTGACGGTGCCTTGAGTCCCTTTTCAGCCCCTTTAAGCATCACTTTCAGATGAGTTTCCTCTTGGTAGGCCTTGATGGGTGATGTTTAAGGGGACATGTGGGGAGCCGTGTTTTTGGTTTCCCTCCGCGCACGCAGGAGAAATCCTGCAGAAGATCTTCTTTAGGAAAAACTATTATCGTAATGTGTTCTTCTAAGTTCAGCCAATATGTTATCGAATCGTGCATCTCCATTGTGTATTCGCATTCTATCTCAATGCTCTCCAGTGCCGTTCCCTCGGAAACGTTTGGAAGTCTGCAAAGTTGGTCAAGAAGTTGATGTCATCACACCTTGTGCATCAGCGGGGGGCCAGGGCAAATCTCGTCCTCGATGGACCTGGAACAAAGTCTGATCGACCGATGATTCAAAACTTTAGATTGCACGAACTTCACTGAAAGGAATAGGGGTAAATGCCGCGATAGTTCCATTCGAAGTGACACTACCCCCTACTCCAAAACCCCACTTTTTTCAGGGTATCATGTCGACCCTCTACTAAAAAAGGAGGTTTTTACCATGGAAAACCAGGTTTTCCCAAAAAGACCCTGAAAAAAGCGGGTATTCTGAGTAGGGGGTAGCATCAAGTTGTTGGTTGCCACGTTATTCCAGTCCCATGGCGGATAAACCCCGGCTCGCTTGCAGCGAGCAATCCCGCCCGAGGCTTCTGTCGTTTTCACATTTTGAGACTCGTAGTGGACAAGAATCCTGATCAGAAGTCATGGTCCCAATTGGTGCAGTGTTATTTATTGGCCATAATTGTAGAGGAATCTCCTCCCAAGGCCCCCCCTCTCTGCGAATTCAGGACTTGGATTCATCCGCCATCCCTCGAGAGCAGCTGGGGGGATTGCAGCAGCAGCTGCTGCTGCAGCTGGCGTCGCAACCGGACCAACGCCTGCCCCAAGGCATGCCTGGCTTGCAGCAGGACCCGCAGCAAAAGGTCCCTACATGTCCATGTCCAGCACGTTGAACCATCACCTTGTGGCCCAGTTTGAGACGAGTGTCTTCTTGGTAATGTTTAAGGCCGAAATATAGGGGTGACGTATTGAGACACATCATTTACACTGAGACATGACAACCGTGGCCAAGCTTAAAATGGCTTGCACCAAACTACGGGGTCCCCCAAAAAATGCCTAGTCCTTTGGGTGTTCCTTTCCAAGAAGCCAAAACACGATCGTTTTTCCTTAGTCTATGAGCAGTTCAAAGCAGGGCCCCTCACCCGCGTGTTGCTCCAGGATTTCCAGGACCTGCACATGGATCTCAAAGGTCGTCGCATGTCTCCTTTTGGAGGCTCGGGAGTACAAAATGTTACCAGCTATGTTATCCCCTTTCTTGGGTGGTTCACTGTGTGGAAAACACAGTTCATTGAGCGTGTCTTGGAATATGGCTTGTTTGCCCTCACAAGAGGGCTGGTTTCATGTGGGTTGCTTTTCATAATGGCTCATTGAGCCGCAGTGGGCATTCCTTTTGTCACTCGAATTGCGATTGCCATGGTTTCCTACAAGAGAGGGTCCCTTGAAACGATCCAACAAAGAAATCTCTCCAAGAAACGACACTCACAAATACAATGTGGTTTGCTTTGTCGGGAACCCTTTTTCTTCCGGACTCCTTTTGTTGACAGCAAAGAGGAGGCAATTTGGGTGCCACAAAAGTTGGTTGCAGAAACAGCGGCCCCTGTATTATCCAACCTGGTGTCCCAAAGGCAAGGTGCGTGGGTTTTGCGGTGGCTCTCCAGCCGTAGGGGGGAGCGGCTCGAGCCAGTCAGCCCATTGCCGGGAAATGATGATCCCGTTTTGAAGTGGCACCAGTTCAATTTGTTTTTGTTGGGTGGGATCCCCACTGAAAAGGATCACCCGCAAACAGGTTCACGTTCTTTTTCTGCCGCAGTCACTGGGAAACTTACTACTTCGCAATGCGTGCTCAGATGGCAACCCAACCGACGTGGGTGGTATGTTCCCGCTGGAGGGCTCAGATACTGGAGGGTTTGCTCGGGAGGTCAAGCCGGAACTGGTCAATTGGCGACTTTTTTTTGCAAAGGCCAAGCAGCGATCTGATTTTCACAGCATTGACAGCATATATTTCAGCGAAGGCATGGGCTTTTGACCGCTTGCCATTTTTCTTCTGTCGAACCTTGGTGGTTCGAGAGGTTGATTCCCCATTCTTTTCAACCATTGTTCTTTTCAAAAACCAGCTGTTTCCCCAGGGTTTAAGGTGGTTTTTTAGAAAGAAGTATGCCTGGAAAGAATGGGAAAGGTAGCCCTAGGGTGTATTTGGCTCTAGGCAAGCCATGGCCTCCCTGGTAAATATCAAGGTTTGTTGATCCCATTTTGGGCGTGCCTCAAGCGGATGGCGAGCACTCCGTTAGACGTGTTTTTGTTTGCCATTCAAACTGAGGCATCCTTGAGAACCCCCGAAACCAAGCTCTGATTGTTAGCCCTTGTTGCTTGGCTGCACAAATCAATCGGCAAACCTGTGGCGACTCAGGGCTTAAACGAGCTTCAGCTTTTATTTGGACAGAAGTTGCAGAATGTCCAGCTTGTGTTTTGCCTGGGATGCAGCTTGCATCAGTGGACGTTGGGCAAGGTCCTACTACCTGGCTTCACGGGGCTTGTTGGTAGAGCCAAAGTATCAAAAGTTAATGGCTTTGGGTGCTGCTCAATTGGAAGTTGTGCGTTTGCCTTCCTTGCTACGCATAGGTGTGTTTGGAGGCCCTTCTGGTTCTGCAGCATGTGGTTTTGGGTAGCCTTCTTAATCCATAAGGTGATTAGTGATTAGTGGTGAGCTGGTGCCCCAATGAAGAGGGCAACCTTGAGCTAAACCGCATTTACTTTCATCCAAAATGCAAGGCTTTGATCGGCGCCCTCGGCCCAATTTTAGGCGCCTGGACGACAAGGCCCAAGGACTGCTGGCGCTTGGAGGCGGCTGTTTGGTGTAGCGCGCCCAAGCTCCACGGGCGGTTTTAGCAGGCAGTTCTGCGTTCCACTATTGCCATCCACGGGAAATTGCGTTTTCCGCCGGCCTAGGTGTCTTCTGCTCTTTGCTTACACATTGTGTGCCCTTCATTCTGGCGTGGTGATCTTACGCAATTGACATTCGTCAGAGCCGGGGATGCCACTTGCACGCCAAGAGTTAAGAACCAGTGCATCAACTTGTGCTTAGCCCTGCCGGCGCGAAGCGCTAAGCACAAGCTTCCGTCGCACACATTTCCAGCAGATGCCTTACATGATCAATACATGCCCGCGTTTTGGAGTCACATTTCGAGTCGGTGCATGCAGGGAAACAAAGGGGGACCGAACACCGCTCTATCAACAAAAACTATAGCCCTTAGTTGGCGGTTTGGTTGGTTTAGCTGGCTTGGGGACCTTTGTTGTTGCATAGGACCCGGTTGGCCAAGCCTGAAACGAGAAACCCCACCGAGGTGTGATGTTTCAGCCAACTTTGCTGCCCCCATCCACTCACAGTCACCCGACTTCACAAGGTGTGTGTGTGTGTGTGTTTTGGTTTTTCTTCGCCTGCTTTACAGCAAGCTAACTGACCCGGGGGTAACACGTGGTGTAGGTCGGGGTTCCCGACTTCCATTGGTGGTGTTGCTTAAGATTCAGACTGCAGATGACAAAATAATGGCGATGATCCACAGCCAGACATCGGCACTCAGCGCGAAGGGGCGAATTTCCACTGTCAGTGGGTGGGGCCAGGGTCCAAGCTCATTTGCTTGACCTGTCTAGCGCAAGGACTCAGTGACTCAAGATTTCTGCTGAGAGGCTTAGCTGCTTACCCTCACGCCCACACATGGCACCAGATGAAAGAGAATATTTATTTATCTTCCAGGTACCCTCCCACAGGACCTAGAGTAGCTTCTGTTGCCAGCTGGCCAGGTTTGGCGGGCAAGGCAGGTCGGGCGTGCTCTGGGATTGCATCCTTGGCACTAGGTTCTGGTAAAATGTGCCTACCCGCAGCAGATGAGGTTCATTGGACCGACTCACGCCAAAAGTCATGCATCTAAGATCCTACCCGTTGTGTAGTGGCTATAGAGTTCTTGTGCATCTTGGGTCCCTGTCGTGGCTTGGGAGTGATGGAAGCCATCGCAGGGCAAGTTGTTGGCAGACTTGTGAGCTTTGCACCAGCTTAGACAGATGCAGGGGGCCCGGGCCGACATGCAAGACTCAGAGCAACTCGCCCGCAATTTTCACATGCTTTGCACAGTCAAACTTATTTGGTTCGAAGGGAAGTTACAAGGAGAAATACCATGAACTCATGTTTCGCGACAAAAGAGCCGGCACGAGTTTGCAGGGCTTAAGATGTGCAGAAGCTTAAACAACTTATGAGCAGCTTTGTGGATGGCATCATTTGTTGCTCTGGACTGGCAAGTTCTCGCCTCGAGGAATGGTCGCTTCGGTGGAATGGGTCCTGGAGTGCAGGCCTGAGCACATCTCGAAGCTCCCGCTGGATGCTGCCCATCCGGGCCAGGATTTGCCTAGTCGGGTGTGAAGGCTGACAAAAGGGGCCCCTGAACGCTGGTGGGGGTGGGGGGCTGTCCATCAGGTAACCCTCAATTTGGGGATTTGCACCCTTGATGCGACAATCCTCCTGTTCGCCTTAGGTCGGCAGGGGCGATGAGTGGAGGCCTCAGTACCGTGTGACAGGCCCTGGGCCTTTTTTCGAGCTCAATTGAAGAGACCGTGCTCGCCATGATGTCCACTACTGGGCGGGCCCCTTATTTCAGGCCGGAATCATTCAAAATTTTGCTACGTGCCGCAATCTTCCAACATGAATCAAGTCGAAAGAGCTAAGTTCGCCTGGCTTCAGTACATGCGGGATCCCTCATGTACTTTACGCCCCTCGCCTCATGATAGGTTGGATCTCTGAGGTACAGCTGGGGTGCGTCCCCAAGGAGCGTAGCTATGTCCCTTGAAAGCAAACTCAGAGTCAAAGGAGGTCAGAGGCTGCGGAGCTGGCGCTAGCTTTGCAGCTCCAGACAGAGGCCGTTTCACACAGCGAGTGCCGTGCTTGCCGAGGATGAGAATGGGCATGGGGTCCGGATCCAAGGGAGGCGCGCGCATTCGATCCGATGGTTCCTTTGCAGGGTGCCCCTTTGTGGGGCTGTTTTAGGGGGAAGGCAGGAGGAAACAAGCCCGTTTTGAAAGGTTCCAACATACTGTTCGACAATCCATGGCCCGGTTTTGTTTTCTTGCTTGTGCCTACAGTAAGGAAACTAACCTCGTGCACCTGTCGGGTTGGACGAAACACCCTAATATTGGGACAAGCCACCTACCAACTCGTGCAGAAGTTTCTCCATGGTCCTATTGAATTGTATGCAAGGGGGCCGCAGCGTCACGGCATCATGCCAGGAAAGGGCAAAGGCTCCAAAGAGGGTCGCGGCAAGGAAGGCCGGCGTGGGCTTCAGGAATCGGTCTACTCCAAATAATTTTGTATGTCAGGGGCTGGCAATTGTGAAGCGGAAACTGACTCTAGTATTTTTTGAGATTCGGTGCAATTACCCCAGATGTGGGCCAAGTAGTGGGTGGTTCGTGGGTGGCTAGTTGGCGTGCACCTGGACATTCATTTTAAATGGGATGCCCAGTTCAGTGGAGTCCACCCTCTAAATATTTGTTTGTTTGGTGGCTTCCCCGCTGAAGATGCCGGGTAGATGAAGCTTAGTAAGGCACAATCCCAGCCGGAAACAGCTGCGGCCGCCTTTGTAGTTTCCTTACATGGCTCTGGGTCAACCATGTTTATACTGGGTTTTGATTGTGACTCAACCAGGGGCAATGCCCTGTGATTTAGCCAGTCTGAAAGTAGTCCGAGAGGCTGGGTATTCCCAGGCAAGCCTAAGGTTCCAACTGGGGGAAAAAGCACTGCACCATGACAGAGGCACCAGGAGGCACCCAAAATGCAGCAGGTTTGCTAAGGGCGTTGCAACAATATCAGGCGGATACCGGGTTGGCAGAGGCACTTGTGTGCAGGATGCAGGCATTCGGCATGCCTATCAAGAGGTCAGCCCATGGGTTTGTAGAATCCGTGCCCTCTGAAAAGAAGCGTGCTTCCTGCTCATGCTCAGATGCCATGACTTCATAGGTACCATTTTGATGTTAGATTTGCGCCAGCCAATTAGATGTTTGCATACTGCAGGTAGCTTTGCAGAGTGTTTGGCACCTTTCCTCATCCCAGCAGGGTTTTTAAGAGGGCGCAGCGGGTCACTCCACGTCCCCCCTTCAAGCGGTGTGAGTTATGCAACCAACCAAAGCTTCAGGTCACTAGGCATTTTTCGTTCTGAGAACGTACATGTCTTTTTTGAGGGCAGCGCGGGTTTGTTTTGAAGGAACGCCGCTGGGAAAGCGAAGCTCATTTGTTGGTCCCCCCCTCCATCCCCCTCCCCCAGCATTTGGATGACACCTTCAACCCTCACTGTTTCAAGTTTCGGGGAACACTCCCTTAGGCTCCCAAAACGAGCACCGTTCTCACAACACAAAAGGGCCACCAAAGGGTGCCCGTCATGCTGCAGGTTTGGCAGGAACTGGGCCCAGCAGTAGCTCCCGAGGGCCTGGGGCCCAACTCGACCCGGAGGTTGCGGAATTTGTCGTGTGGCCCTGCGGCCTATTGGTTTACATGCATCATGTTCATCCCTAAACCCACCGGTGAACCACGATTTGGGTAGAACAGTAATCAGCGGTTTCCTTTTCCCTTGGGCCCAAAATGCGATGTGCGAGCAAAGCGACACAGAAAGCCGGCCCCATGAACTCTTAGGAAGGGCAAGGACGGCAAAGGTCCAAAGGGAGGACAAGGCGCGTGCTGCGACTTGCTACGTCCAAGGCATTAGCTCCGACAGCGTCCAAAAGGAACGTTGCCAAACTTACCGTGCGCAAGGTTAGGTTCGGATGAATCCAGAGGACCATACCATTCAGCGGGATCTCCTAAAAGACAAGATTCCCGTCTAAAAGAGGGCTTTCCATCCCTGATTAGTACGGTCCTTTGTGTCTTGCGCGAAGTTAGTGTTGTTTTTTCCACCTTGCCAGGGGAAGCAACCTTTACAACCTCCGGGATCGGAAAGATGAGGTATGGGAACAGTCCCAACAAGTGCCGGCCTCAGCTGTCAGGTTTGTTTTCCAAGATGGTCCTCCGCCCTTTTGGTGTCTCCTGGTGCCAGTAGTCATGTGGCAAAGATTGGCATGGCTTTGATGTGTTGGTGTTCCGGAGCTTCAACCAGGCAGGTTGGTGCCAAAACGAGTGCCATGAAGTACACGATGCAGTTGAGGGCAATGAAGGCGGATGCAGCCATGGTTGGCAGTGTGACAACATGAACATTTGACAGTAACATATGTATAAAGTCAAATGAGATTCGGTCAGAATATCTAGTAATCAGCCTATGGTTGTTTGGCATTGGCACGTCCAGGGACTCACCACCCCTCAGGCTTTTTATTGGGAACCTCTCGCTGGACGTGACCAGCGATCATTTGATCGAGGCGTGCTTTGTCAAACCGGGGGGGGGGGGAGTGACAAATCAGGACCAGCCAAGGGGGCGGGGGGACGGGGGATGAGGGGGTTGTCAAAAGTATGCCGTTTTAGACCCTGGTACCGCTGCAAGAGCCGCCTTTTTGTAGGGGACCTTGGCTCCCCAAAAGTCCGAGATTGTCAAGGCAAGGTCTAGATGGAGATGTCCCAGCTACCCGGGTAATTTCGGAATAAATGTTCGGAATAAATTTCCAGGGCATCACAAAGGCCTTAGCGTGAACGGGCGTCTTTTTTGCGGGCGGTTCCCCATAAGTTAGTTCCACATACTGTTTCATCCCGAGCCATAAATCAAAGTGCTCAAGCACCGCAGAAGGGGGTGGCATATCAGTGTATCAGAAAATATGTTCCATTTTACCGTGGACTAAATATGAATCATTTAATTTGTTTATGGTGTACCTCTTAGTTCGGTCAAGAATTCATCTTTTT